AGGTCAGGCAGGACACAAGAGAAAGGAGAAGAAGGTCAGGGCAGAGCAGGCTCTAAAAAACAAGAGAAGGCCAGGAGCAGGTCCTTTACCACAGCAGGACTGGTGTGGACCATCGCCCCAGGGTCTGATCGCTCAGGTATAGCAGGTGGGCATAGGGAGAAATTGTGTACTTGGCCAAAAGAGAGGTCAGAGAGGGAGGAGCTGTAGGCTGGATTCGGGACTGCTGGAAGCACAAGGGACATCTCCTCCGGTGCTCTCACAGGCTCCTCCGTGGGGCTTTCCGGATAAACTACCTCCTAAGACAGACTGGCATCTCTGGGCATTGAAAGAGCATTGGCCATTGAACTCCAGCCTACAGCTCCTCCCTCTCTGACCACTCTTTTGGCCAAGTACACAATTTCTCCCTATGCCCACCTGCTATACCTGAGCGATCAAACCCAGGGGCAACGGTTCACACCAGACCTGCTGTGGTAAAGGAGAATGAGAAAGTGGGCCCCTTGTTATCAAATGATATCAGCACTTGTCCTCTGTGTATCCCACTGCGGTGGACATGCTCTTAGGAGTCCCCTGTAGGGAGGGAACTGAGGGAGAAAGGAAAAGGGATTTATTTCTGGCCTTAGTGATTCAGGAATTCCATGTCTCTGTGCCTCAGTTTCTGTGCCTGTGGGAGTGCCAGTAGCTGCGTCTCCCTCCAGAGGGTAGAATACAGATGTGGACAGCAGCATTTAGAGTGAGGAAGCCAGGGAGAAGTAGCAGGCTGCTGGGTGGGCTGGGGTTCACAGGGCCTGGCCTGTCACTGCCACTAAACTTTGTGTTCCTCCTGGCTACCCTCCTCCCTTGGTTCTGTGCCTCTTGAGCAAATTCATGGCACACATTTGCTAATAGAGCACAGTGGTTCTTCTTGAAAGGGAGCCCTCTCCTTCTGCTCTGCTTTGACTCTGGCAGTTCAAACAGCAGCTTTTGGGCCAGGGAGGCTGTCTCTGGCTTCCTGGGACGCTGACTGCCAACTCAGGACCTCACCACGGGTACTGACATTCGACTGAGGGGTGGCAATCTGCCTGGAGACACTTAGGTGGTCCTGCAGAAGATCGGCCTTGGGAATTGGCAGCCTTTCCATTTGTGGATTCATTCCAGCAGTGAACTCGCCAAAGGGCCATTCTGCTGAGACCTTTTATTTCTCATGAATGTCCCAGGCATAGGTCTTAAGTATGACAGGGCTCAGCTGGGGGTGAGGGGGCAGTATTGGTGGTAGATCTGCAGCCTCAAGACTGAATGGGTCCCTACGTGTAGCAGGAGCTGAGCTCAAAGATAGGGCTTTATTAGACTCCCCCAGCCAGGTTTGGGCTCCATCCTGGGATCTTCCTGCAGAGGGGGAGATCTGGCTCTCACACCCAAACACAGGTATGCTCTGCGTGCACCTGGGATGTGGGAGGTGGGATCTGCAGGAGGGCCCCTCCTACCTCCAAGCTCCCCCTCCTCCTCAGCAGGCCCTGTTAGGATCAAGCTTCAATGGTCAGACTCCATCTTGCTTTGGAGAAGGAGTCCTGGCCAGCTGCTGTTGAACATTGTCCTGTCTAGTGTGACATGGATGTGCACCAGTGGGACAAGAGCAGACCCAGCAGACTCCTTCCTCCAGACCATACTCCTTAGCATTCTTGTCAACCCTGGAGTACCTTGGTTGGGAGCCACAGCTGGGTCCCTACAGGAAACTAGCAGGATGTCAAGGACAGGTATCATCTTCCTTAAAGGGAGGGGCAGGATGCTCCACTGGAAAAGAAGTCCCATAGATGGCTGACCTACACCCCTCATTGAGCATGGACCACAGCTGGTGACTTGTCTGGGTGCACATCTGCCTACTGAGGGAGACCACCATCTGCCTTCTGGCTGGCCCAGGTTGGGCAGTATAAGCTGAACCATCATGTGCCTAGGAGCTGGGCCCTGGGAAGCCCTGCCTGAAAGCTAGTCATGACCCTGGGCCACCAGGTATTCTGGGCCGAGGGTGCTGAACGGGAGATGGCTGGCTGGGATGTGCTCAAAGGCATCACTGCTCAGGGATGGCATGGGGCAGAGGAAGCCACAGTGGCTTAGAATCCCACTGTTGACATAGCACAGGGAAACCTATCACCTACCAAGTGCCACCTCAGGAGAGGTGAATGAATGGGAAGGGTCGGGGAGCAGGATGAGAGGTATAGAGGGAGGGGTCAGATGGCGGAGCTGGAGATACCACCCGTGATCAGACTCAATCAGGGCCGAGTTCTGTTTCCCCAGATGTGAAGATTGAACCCCAAGAAAAGGCCAAGGCAAGCGCAGAAAGCAAGTTTTACTTAAGGATGAGAACAGACTTCTCCCAGGAAGAAGATACCCAGGGTTGGTATCCCAGGGAGTGGGAGGTCCTGCCCCTTTTATATACTTCAGAATTTCTTTGTTCTCCTGGCCTCTCCCCGCCATCCTGCATACATGGCCAGTGACCAAAGTGACTCATGACCTTTTGGTGGGCCAAAAGGTCATGAATGAAGCCATCCTCCAGGGGTCCAGGCTGGAAGAGAGCTGCCCAGGAGGCATTCATTAATAGCCCTTAGTTGGGAAGAACAGTTCCCTGAAAGCAGGTCACCTTGACAACAGCAGGTAAAGGGCTCTGGAGGTGAAGCATGACAGAAGAGACTGGACACCTGAGGAATTTTCAGGAAGCAGGTTTATTGACTGCAGGGTCCGAAAGGGCTAGTGCCTAAAATTTCTCCCTTGGACCATGAGTGAAAGGAAAGCGAGGAACCGGGAGACGGGCAAGCAAGAAATGAAAGATAGGAGATGGTAGGGTCCTTGCTTAGCATCTGGGTGGCCAGCTTAAGTGACAGCTGCCATTTTAAGGCTTTCCCGCCCAAAGGCCTTTCTGAGAAAGACTCACCACTCAGTCATACCAACCCCACCCTTAATGGCCCACATTAGGACCCGCCCCGCTCTAATCCCTGAGCCACCCCCCAAAATGTCCCAAACCCGAAGCCTGTATTACCTCTCCCCATCTATGGAGAGGTAGCCTTTATCTGTCAGCTCTGACAAGTAAACTGTCGTGTGTATCTCTGCCTGGTCTCCGACTTTCATTTCTCGTTCTCCATCTCCTGGTTCTTCGCTTTCCTTTCAGAGACTAGACAGAGTTGCACAGGAGAGTTTAAAGGGCATCTCTCCATAGATGGAGAGAGGCAAAACAGGCTTGAGTTCTGGGATTTTTATGGGACAGGCTCCGGGATTAGAGCCTGGCGGGTCCTAATTCGGGTGGTTAAGGGTGGGGTTGGTATGAGAGAGTGGTGAACCTTTCTCAGAAAGGCCCTTGGGTGGGAAAGGGCCATTCTTAGGATGGCGGCTGTCACTTAAGATGGCCATCCAGATGCTAAGCATGGACCTTACAATGACTATTTTAGAAATTCTTTGAACTTTATACACAGTGGGGGGAGGGGGCTAGGATGGTCGCTTGACAAGCGCTTTACATTTCATCCTCTAGACAGAGTTTCACAAGTTTTTTTTCTTCTTCTTTTTTTTTTTTTTCTGCAAACCAGGCATTTACAAGAAGAGGAAACTACCACAATGCCCTTCTGCAGAAGTTTTTGCTGATAAAAAGCTTTCTGATAAGCTAAGAAGAACTTACATGCCACAAATATGGTGAGGGTTTCTGGTTTATTTTTGTAAGGTCTTCTAGGTAGAGGTCTCTGGCCTGCTTCAGAGCTTTAGCATTTGGATACCCAGAGGTCATAGACTTTGGCCTGGAGTGAAGTGGATGTGTCCTGAAGATATTAACATTCCATTCCCTTTGAATCAGCTTCCATCTTCCTGACGAGATCTTCTAGCTACACTAACTGCCTGACCTTTGTTCCTGCTTCACTAAAATGGGGGTATCCGTGGTTTCTGGCTGCTACAGGGAAGGAAGAGCCTCCCAGAGGCACAGTGAGCTACCTACCTGGCCAGGAGCAGGGTTCTGAAAAATTCCCCCTGTGTAGGGCTTCCTTCCCAGTGGGCTGCGTGCTCTCAGCAGAAATGTTGCAGGACCTTCCATTATCGGGGAGGTCTCCCTGGGCCTTTCCCAATGAAAGCCACTTCTTCAGGAATAAGCTGGAATCTGTTCTCAGACAGCCAAGTCTATAATTCAGATGTGGAAACTTTCACATCCTAATTTAGGCCAGTTGCTAAAAGATTAAAATGTAGTTTGAGATATATACACATTATATACATTGAACATATAGTAATTTCCATCATGTGTGATGTGGGGTTAATAGCACAGAACTCACAGAGCTACTCTAAAGAGTAAATCCAGCACAGGGAATAGCGCATGATTTAAGTGTTCAGAAAATGCTGGACATCCATAATAGCTAGTATTTATTTACAGGTGAGTTAAAGCTATGTGATTTCCACACATTATCTCATTACTTACTAATGGGGGCAGGGAGGAGTTTCTTAACCCACAGGTCTTGGAGAATGCAGAGAGAGCTTGGGGGGGGGGCGGGGATCCCGGGAGTTGAGGGGGTTCCCTAACTCTAATACTCATTTGGAAACTCATGTGTTCTGTGTACTTTATGGCAAAACTATCTGTGGCTTTTAATTAGCTCCTCAAATAATGAAGAATGCGTTTCTAAATTATTTCTGTGCTGTTCAGCTCGTGCACAGGATGACATGTTCCCACAGGTAAATAATCCTATCACAGCAAGACTATGGTGTTTGTAACCAAATATTTCCTGACCTTGGATAAAACTTCCCTCCCTTGAACTTTGCAAAAATATCCCTCAAGTCATTTCCAGTGTCAGAGGCAATGTGATCTATTTCAGGCTAAGGCGAGCACTTTCACCTCAAAGGCGTTGAGGCTCTGCACTTGGCAAGGGAGAGGATGACTAGAAGTAGGGAGGGCTAAGGGAATTCCATTTGGTGGCCCTTGCTTCTTTGGACCTGGGACTTGCGGTGCGCACCCTCATCCTGCCTGAGTGCTGCGCCTTTAAGGTCCACTGGGGGCGTGATGTCAGCGGCCCGGGAGCACTTAGAGAGGTGAGCCGGCAGCCTGCGCAGCGGGTGACTTGGACGCCGGGTTAGGAGTAAAACCCGCAGAGAGCTCCAGACTCCCACTTTGATCAGAGCACTTGTCCCCCGCGGGCCATGTCCTGCAGGCACTGAGTGAGCACTGCCCTGGCTCTGGGAGGGCGAGCGGCGCTATAGCAGCCATGAGCAGCTTCCAGTTGGAAGACTTTGCCGCGGGCTGGATCGGAGGTGAGTGCCGAGGGGACACTCGCGGACCGGAGCGTGAGCTACCGGCACTGCACCAAGTCCTCTGGCTTTGGAAACTTTGCCCCCCGCACCTTCCTTCACGCGCCGTGGCTGCCGCGACGCCTTGGTGCGGGGACCGTCCCTGGTTCGAAGCCCTCGAGTCCTCTCGGGTGGTCTGGCTACTCAGTGGAACTCCTCTGATTTCATGATTGACCCTGAGCTGATTTGCTTCAACCTTAGGATCCGAGGAGTTTGATCTGGTAATGATTAAGCAGTCCGTAGAGCTCACAGCCAATGGAGCCTCCCTGGCGGGCACCCACCCTTCAGTGACGGGTTTGCACCTGAATCTGGGGACGTGGCTAGCAGGAACTTGGCTGCGAGTTGGCGCTTGGCCCCTGAATCCTGGGCGCGGGATGGTGAGGGGTTGCAAGGTCCGGCTGGCTCTAGGGGGAGCCCGGATTGGAAGGAGCAGAGCGCAGGGAGGGGAGCTCCAGGTTGCAGGTGCTCAGTAACAGCTGGCAGGAACCCTTCCTGTTCTCAGCAGTGGTCAGCCTTCAGCCAATGCGCTCCTTCAAGGTCCTTCCTAGCACTATTGGGCCTACTGGTCCCTTCGCCATCACTCCCTGAGCTGCTCTGCTGGACCTCAGGTGGGTTGCTTGGGCCAGAGGTGCATCCAATTTCCTTGCTTCTCCTTTTAAAATGCCTGTATTCCTCCTTTCTCAAGTATGAGGGAGTAAGTGTAGACGTTTGATGGACCTTGTTGATTGTAAAAAAAAAATTACCTTTATTTTGACCGGCCCAAGATTAAAAGAGATGCTGTTAAAAAATATAAAAAATTAAAAGAGATGCTTTTAAAAATATAAAAAAATTAAAAGAGATGCTGTTAAATTCAGCCCCTCCCCCAAAGGAGGGGCACTAAATAAAAAGATCAACAAACCAGATAAGACTCCAGGTCCTCCCCTCCCACCTAGCAGGCCTCTGATGTTTTCCCTGGTAGCTGGCAACTGGTCCTGCACACACCTTCCTGGACAGAGGTAGCTTTTTCCACAGCACCCAGTTCTGTTGGCACAGGAGCCTGTGGGTGGGGCTGAGAATTGCCTCTCCTAAATTGACCAGCCAGAGGCCCATTTGACATACCCAAGCCCTCTTTGAACAGTCCTTCAACCACTTGGAGGGGTAGACAGAGAGGGGAGACCCCTCCCTGTATGGCCCCTTTAGTTTTCAGTAGAGTTGCAGACGGCTGGGTTTGAGAACTGCCCTGGAGGGTGGGCTGAGGCAGAGGAACCCAGACCTCTGATAAGACAATTCTGAGATTGCCCTTATTTTTGTTTTGTTTTGTTTGTTTATTTGTTTTTGCCTGCCTGAAATGATGGTGAAGGTAGTAGTCACATGAATGCTTACTAGGTGTAACTTTACTGAGGTTTATGCAAAGCTTATTGAAGTTAATTTTACCTATCATAAAATTCATTTCAAGTGTACAATTGAATGATTTTTAGCAACTTTACCAAGTGGTGCAACCGTCACTATAAATGAGTTATTGAGCATTGTCAACCCCCAGGAAGATCTCTCAAGTCCACTAACAGCTGAGCTTTGCTTCCCTTCCTCCCCCTAGACAACCACTAATTTGCCTTCTGTAAATTTGCCTTTCCTGGATCTTTCATAGCAGCTAAATCCTGAAAAGTGGGGTGTCTTGCATTTGTTCATACATATTTCTTTACTAATAACCCTAAATGAAGTGGGTACTATTACATTCTCATTTTACAGATTGGAGGTACAAAGAAATCCTGAGGCCATGCATCTAACATGGGCACTGGTATTCTGACCCAGACAACTGGGCACCAGGGTCTGACTGCCAGGGTGGTAACTCCCAGACTTGTCTATACTTGTTGTCTTTGTTAACAACCTTGTACGGAAAAATTTCCCCATAACAACCTCCACGTTTTACTTGGAGTTATATAAGTCTTGGAGATCCCAAGATCTGGAAACTACTGACCCCCAAATCTCATTTTAAAAAAATCTGGCACCTCTTGCTTTCCAGATGGGTGGGCTGATGAGTGTGAGCAGGGAGACACTGACCCAAGACCAGAGCTGAACTGTGCTCAAGGCAGAGGGAAGCCAGCACTGGTTCTGGGGGACTTGCCTCCCAGCCTAAGGACCAGAGCTCCTTCCACCTTGCTGGGAGGGGTCCTGCAAAGTGGGACTGAAGGCTCCAGGCTTTCTTCTGACCTCCACCGACCATCACTTCTGTGCCACTGCCCAGTTCAGGGATAAGGATGAGGTGAGAGAGGACAGGAAGATCTGGACCAAAGGATTAGCTAAATTCTCTGTCCCTGTAAATACAGAATATTCCAGGGCCCTGACTTAGCTGACTTGGTTAAATCACTTCTGCTGGCAGAGCCATTGTCTCTTAAGTCACTGGACTGGAAAATTTATTTTGGAAGAACAGCTCCTGTTTGAATCTCAGTCACCAGCTTCCACAAGGGCTTCTTTATCTAGGTGGCCTTGCTCTTCCCAGAATGGTACAGGCCTCTGTGAAGACAGGTTTTTTTTAATGAAAAGGTCCATTGTATCTATCACCTTTGGATCTTTAAAAGAACATCATTCAAAAGTGACAATATCTATGGTGCATACCTGTAATCCCAGCTACTAGGGAGGCTAAGGCAGAAGGATCACAAGTTTGAGGCCAGCCTTAGTGACTTACTGAGGCCCTCTCAAAAAAAAAAAAAAAAAAATGGACAGGGGATGTGGCTCAGTGGTAAAGTGCCCCTGGGTTCAATCTCCAGTGCCTGACCCCAACCCCTTCAAATAAAATGAAACAAAGAAAAGTTGAATAATCTATAGATAACTTAAAAGTTGCTGGGTTTTCTCTTCACCCCCTTGCTTTTTGAGTTGAAATTCACATAATGTAAAATTAGCCATTTGAAAGTGTGCAATTCAGTGGCATTTTTTGTACCCTTACAATCCTGTGAAACCATCACCTTTATCTAGTTCTAAACCATTTTCCTCATGATGATTAAAGTAAATCAGGACAGACCTGAAGAATCCCTGGGCAGACAAAGTTAGTGAGGTCTCAAACAGAGACCTTAACATTGCTTAATTTGCAAACATGAGTAAAACGCCTTGGGCTATTTCTTGTAAATTCTTATATTAAAGAAAAGCAGAATTGATGCTTGATGACTCAGAAGTACTCAGCTAACTTATATAACTAGGGACTTTCCAACAGGACTTATCTAAGACAGCACCTGTGTAACCAATCAAATACAGTCATGTGCTGCACATCGAAGTCTCATCTTGGTCAATGATGGACCATGTAGTTGATGGTGGCCATGCCACATAGGTAGGTGTGCAGTAGGCTGTACCCTCCAGGATCCAGGTTTGTGTAAGTACACTCTGGTGTTTGCCCAAAGATGAAACCACTTAACGATGCATTTATTGAGTCTGCATCCCATCATTAGAGCTCACATGATCATGATTTCCCTGCTGCATCTCTGTATCTAGAAGCTTCCTCTGTCATTCTCTTGTGTGTGGAGCTTCTGAACCACTCCTTCCTTGCAGTTGTCCAATTCATAAATGTTTGTTTGCTCAACAAATGCTTTAAAATTTTATTGTGCTTCAGTTTACTTTTTAACATGGACAAAGAAAGTCCTGTACCCATTAAACAGCCACTCCCATCTCCCCTGCCCACAGCCCTGTAAACCCACTAATCTGCTTTTTTTTCTTTACAAATTTACCTGTTCTAGATAATTCGCATAAGTGGAAATTATTATGCCTTTGTGTCTGATGTATTTCACTTAGCATGTGTTTTTTGAGGTTCATCCATATTGTAGCATGTTCAGTACTTCATTCCTATTTATAGCTAAATAATATTCCATTGTATGAATGGACATACCACTCTTGATTCATTGGTTGGTGGACATTGGGCTTTTGTAAATGATACTGACATGAACCTGCATTAATATGTACTAGTTTTTGGTTCTTGGATATATCTCTAGAAATAGAATTTCTGGGTTGTGTAGTAATTATATAATTTGATGTTTAATTTATTTTAAGGAATCATCCAACTGTTTTCCACAATGGTTGCACCCATTCACATTCCCACCAACAACATACAAGACTTCTAATTTCCTACATCCTTGCCAACACTTATTATTTTCCTATCAGGTATACAAGGGAATGTCATTGTGATTTTGACTTGCATTTCCCTAAATGTTGAACATCTCTTCATGTCTTTCTGGGCCATTTGTATATCTTCTTTAAAGAAGTGTTTATTCAAGACCTTTTACCCATAATTTTCTTAGTTGTCAGAGTTTATATATTCTGGATACTAGACCCTTATCACATATATGATTTGCCAATATTTCCCTCCATTCTGCAAGTTGTCTTCACTTTCTTGAGAATGTTTTTTGATGCACAAAAGCTTCACATTTTTGTGAAACCCTGTTTATATTTTTTCTTTTGTTGCTTGTGCTTTTGGTATTATACTTAAGAGTCCATTGCAAATCCCAGGTCATGGAGTTTTTTTCCCCTATGTTTTAGTTTAAGTGTTTTATTGTTTTAGCTCTCCCGTTTAGATTTTTGATCTATTTTGAATTAATATTTTGTATGATATGAGGTAGGGAACTAAATCCATTCTTCTGCATATGCATGTCATTTTATCAGCACCTTATTTTCCTTCTCTGAGGTGCTTAAGTCAAGATTTAGGTTGGCTCCATTTTCTCTGCCTTCCTTGGTACTTGGACTAGTGTACATTGGAAGCTCTGTAGCAACTGATCATCGACTGAATGAGTGAACCCATATACCTGAGTCCTCTGTCCTGTTCCAAGAGCCAGCTGATACAAACAGGAGTCCAAGGTATGAGTGACCATATATTATTCTTTGATCCACAGGTGCAGCCAGTGTCATTGTTGGCCACCCTTTGGACACAGTCAAGGTACAGTTCCCATGTTTCCCATTACATCTTGGAGCCTCTGGTCTGTGCTCACTCTTTCTGATTCTCCTGAGATTCTCTGGTCCAGGGAAGGCTCTCTGCTTCCAGCTCAGAGGTCTGGGGGTGCCAGAAGTCCTGGTTTGGAATGGCTTTCCCCTTTCTACTTGATGGTGAATTTGTTCCTGTGAATGTCCCATCCCTGCCTCAGGTTCTCATGAGTTGATGAAGTAGAGGACAGGACAATGGCCAATATCCTCCTCCAAGTCCCTCTACAGCTGAACAATCAAGAAAGGCTTCAAATGTGAGGTTGCAATTGAGCCCAAAATGTAAGGTTGAATTTCAGATAATTAGGAAAGATGTACCAGGCACAGGGGACAGCATGGGTCTAAAAGGCACTGAGATAGAGATGTCAGGATCCATGCTTGGGAAAGGCCAGATGGCCAGTTTGGCTGATATGTCAGGTTCCTGGTGCAGCTTTGGGTCAGAATCCAGGTAAAGCAGGTCAGCACTCAATCTTCAGAGAACTTGAATGTCAGGTTAGCACCTTGGACCTAGTTGGAAGTGGGAGCCATTGTAACTTGACCAGGCATAAAGGATGTGAAGACTCTAGAGATAGCAGGGCCATTCTGACATTGGGATTTATCTCTGACAGGGGACGGTGCTTGCCTTAGGTCACATAAGTTCAAATCTGAGGAATGAAATGCTACAAAAGAGTGCTCTTTGACCCCACCCTACCCCTGTCTTCTGTCCCCAGAGGTGAACAGGACTCGGTCACCTGGGAACGTGGCCATACATAATTTCTTCTCACTCCTGACTTCCAGATCTCCCTGGGTTGTGCTACAGTTTCCTTTCTCACTATCTTCCTCCCTGTATGATAATGGGCCCCTCTGAGGTCAGAGCTCAGGCCTAGTCTCTTCTCAACTGGAAGATCATCCTACTTGTCTTAATATACATAGAAAAGCAGGGTGTGAATGTTCCATCCCTGCCTGCAGATTCTCATGAGCTGATGGGGGCAGGGGTAACAGAACACTGGCTAATAGGATGGTAGGCAGGGCCAGTGCTGGACAGTGGGCACTTGTGGCAGTGAGCCAAGCAGTACGAGCTTTCCACTGTAGACACAATGAGAGAGATAAAAGGCAGGAACCAGACTTTAGAGAGGGGCTGTATTAGGGCTGGGACTCAAAGTCCCAAAGTGGACTTGGCCTCCAGTAAGCCTACCTCACTGGTCAGTGTTTCTTTACATTTAGAGCCCCTGGAACAGACTGGGACCCAATATAGTTTTTCTGAATGAAGGACAATGGCCCAGAACCACTTTTTCAAAACCACCAGTCAGGTCGCTGTGGGCTTGGTCCCCGGAGGAACAGTGCCCCCAATACTCCTGGCCAAAGTGGTCAGAACTGGGCTCTGGAGATGCCCCCCATTTTGGAAACCATCCTCGAGGCCATACCTTGTCCATGGTCAGCTGAGGTCCTCTGCTGTTTTGGTTGAGGCTGCCAAGGTCTATGTTTTCTCCCATCTGCCTGGGTGTTCAGAGCAGAGGGACCCAGAGGAACTGGAGTTGGGACCAGGAGGCCTGGGGGTCAAGGTGGCTTTTCTGAAGGGGGTGGGGGCTGCTGCAGATAGATGCCAAGGATGGGGTCATCCCAGGGGCTCTGCCTGTCCAGCTTCCCCAGTCCCTTTCCTGGATACAATAGCTGGGAAAGATGGGCTCCTGGGGTCCGTCTTTCAGGGGGCCAGAGGAAGAGGAGGCTGCAGGTCCACAGAGGTGGACGTTTTGTGGCCATTGTCTTTGCACATTCAGGACTGCAGGATGGTAGGTCCTTAGACTTCAGTGAGGAGTCCCAGGTTTCGCTTCCCCAGGGAAGCGAAAAGCAGCCTGGAGTGAGGCTGTAATGTGTGGAATACACGCTAGGGCATCATGGGATTCTGTGGCCGGGACTCAGAGGGCCCTACAACTATCGCTGAGGCCAGGGGGAAGCTTCGAGGCCTACCAACTGAGCAGAAGCAGCAGCCAGTCTCAGGCTAAGAAGAATGTTTGCTCCAAGGAGGGCCTAGACCTTTGCTGCCCACCCTCATGAGAGGGTGGACGAGGAAGGAGCCTCTTGCATTGAAGAGGATAAAGAGTCTGGTTTGTTCGAAGCACTCCTTTGCCAAGCACTTGTTTGAGTGCCTGAGAGAAAGCCATGCAGGGAGGCTGGGAGGACTGTGTCAGGAGCTTTGCTATTGTATGTGGGTGGGCCGGGGGGGGGGTATGTCACAAGGGGAAGGTGCCAATGGAGCCAACTGGAGACACTGAGGGAGGGAGACTGGGCACTTGTCCACCCATCCAGTCCCCGACTGCAGGAGCCATTAGCTGACCACTAAGTCTGATGATTTAGCAGTGAGGGAGGCAAGTGAGGGGACAAACATTCATAGGGGACAATGATTAGGGAACATGATATATGCACAAGGCATTTGTAGGCTGTTGTAGGTGCCAGGGAGAAAATAACGCAAGGTGATGAGAAGGAGTCACTAGGGGCTTCTCTATATTGGGGGGGTCAAGATGGCTTTTCTGAAGGGGAGGTGGTCAAATGATACAAAAAGCCACACACAGAAAACAGAGGTCAGAGTGCTCTGACAGAGGCACAAGCTGGTAGAAAGGCTTATGTAGAAGAGGGTGAGGGCTGCTTCAGATGCCAAGGAGGGGGCTATCCCAGGGGCTCTGCCTGTTCAGCCTCCCCATTCCCTTTTCTGGGCACAATGGCTGCTGGGGTCCATCTTTCAGGGGGCCAGAGAAGGAAGAGGTTGCAGGCCCACAGAGGTGGATGTTTTGTGACCATTGTCCTTGCACATATAGGACTGCATGGTGGCAGGTCAGCCAGGGTGTCCGTTCTTCCCATCAGCCCTGCACACCCAGGCCCTGGCTCCCAGAGTCCACCAGGAGGGCTCTGGAGTAAGTTCAGGTCTGAAGTGGACTGACCAGCATCTCAAGGCTGAGACCTGCTGCCCAGATGTAAAGCCCCCAGGACTCTCCAGAGCCAAGCCAAGCCAAGCCCTCTGGAGGGTCCTCCACACCTCTGTGATATCTGTGGATGCCCACTGGATTCTCTCTGGTCTCCCTAGGGCAGGCCAGGTATCCCAAGAGTGCATCACAGCGAGAAGGCTGAGTTTCCTAGCCAGTAGTTCCAACTCTGCCCTGTTCAGAGCACAGCTTAGTTCAGAGCAAGGCACTGCCTTGAGACAGCTAAATAAACGGCTATCCAGGATCTTAGCCCAGTGCAAGGGGCTCTCCTGGACTGGGCCTTATAGAGACTTTGAAGACTCAGATGCCATTCTTGATGACTTTAGGAAGAAAAGGCTTTCCCTGACCTCCCCATCCTTTCCAACTTGCCTAACTCTCCCTAGTCTGTCCCAATTGACAAGGTGATCACTGGCAGGCAGCAGGGCTGAGCCTGAAGAGCACAGGTTTTAGAACCACGCAGGCTCTGGGTTTGAACCCTACTTTTTGCCATTTCCTGTCTGCATAGCCTTCTGTTAGGACCCAAATCCCTGGTTTAAATATAAGGCAAGTGTGTTGCTCCTGGTACCCAGCAGACATTTCAAATTGGTAGCTACTATTTTTATCAACATCATTCTATATAGATGAAGTTTTTTCTCAGTTATGACATTGTGTGAAAATAGGTAGCTGGGTTTTAACCAAATTTGGAGACATGTGTTTAAAAACGTCAAACTTAAATGGTGTGTATAAATTTCTCTTTGGATCACGGGAACACCTCAAAAGATGGGCAGTCATTGTCCAGAGTGGCTTCCCCAGTCACCTGACCATGGAGCAACTTGTCAAGTATCTACCTCTGTGTGTCAGAGCAAGGGAAAGGGCTGCTATTTCTCTAGGCTGACTTGAGAAAAGTGAGTTGGTAACAAATTGTTGTTGCACAGGGTGTGAGAGACTTAAATGTAAAAAATCTGGTGCTTATCTTAGCTTCCTTAGGCAATTATTCCACTTTCCTGCAAATTGGTTGGCTTAAAACAACAAAAATTTGAAAAAATTTTGAGGAAGCTCAAACCAAGTTGTTGGTCCCTTCCGGAGGCTCTGAGGGAGTCCCAGGACTCTCTTCTGGCTTCCATGTTGGCGGTCCTGGCGCTCCTGGGTCATGACTGCATCGTGCTAATTAATCTCTGTCTTCACATGGTCTTTTCCTGTGGATGACTGTGTGACCAGTCTCCGTCTCCTTTCTATGGATGTCAGTCATTGGATTAAGAACCTCAGGGGAGTGAGTCCTCTCCCTGTCTGTGCTTAGATGCAAACCTGTCCACTTATCACCTAGAAAGTTTGGGGGCCCCTTCCTTTTCTCCACTCTGCCCCTGCACCTCAGGGGGACTCTTTTTAAGCTAGTCTGTGACCAGCCTGAGAACCTGCTGCCCAGGCACCAGACTGGCAATGGGGCTCATGTGACTGACTTTCAGGTCTTGTCCTTGAGGTGTCCCACTGTCCTTTGTTCAACCTGGAACTACCTTCCTTCCCTCTGGTTGACATTTTCTCTGGAGTACCTGTCACTGAGAAAGATCTGGGCAAGTTTAAAGAACTGGAAGTTCAGTCCCAACCTTCCCACCAACTCCCGTAACCCCGGGGAATAGCACTTAGCCTCCTTGGAACCTGGTTTTCTTGTCTGTAAAATCTGCACACAGTACCTCCTTGCTAAGGCTGTCATGAACATTGTTCATGGAGATTCTGAAGAAAGAGTGACCAGCAAGATGGCCCCAACCTGATGGAAAGACATGGGAGGGTGTGGAGAGGCAGATGAGTGACTTGCCTGAGGTCCAGGGCCCACCTGTGGAAGAGTCCAGCTGCCGGGACCTGAGCTGCAGTCCTAGGTCAAGGCTCCTTCCTCTGTCTGCCTGGCCACTGGTGGAGGAGCTAGCCGCTGGCTCCTCAGTGTCACGAAGCTGAGATTTTTGGCATCTAGAATTGTATAAGACTAAACCTGTGTTGCTTCAGCCACTTCCAAAGCAATAGGAAATTAATACAGAGAGTCAGCTTTCTTCATCCGGAAAATGTGGGTGATATCTTGCCTCTCGGCATGGGTGGGATTCAGTGAGGTGACTTCTACGAGATGCCATGTGTGTAATTGGTGCATACTAAATGCCAGCTCCTGCTGTAACCGGTGATCCTAGGGCCATGGGCTTTGCCACTTGCCTCAGGGCCATGCTGAGCTCAACATGCTAGGAAGACCTTTGTTCCATGGCTTTGAAATTATTCTATGGCCTGGGTTCTGCTCTGGTTCAAGTCCCTCCATGTACCATTTTCTTAAGTAGTATGAATTCTCAACTTTAGTGGAAACTTGATCCTTCTGGGGACCCTATCATTGGGTGGATTCGTTATCCAGGGACAACGAGACGGCGTAGGATCTCAAACCTGCTTTATGTGGGACATAGAGAAAGGTCTACATCAAGTCATCATTGTCCTCATTGGGGACACCCCATCCTAAGGTAGACCTCTGCTTAGCAAGGAGAACATGACAACCCAGTTTCCATCTTGCTCTTTCTTCCCGGTGTCCCTCTTGCCACACAATTTAGAAGTGAGTTTCTTCATCACCACCCGGCCTTTCCTATCTGTGGTTTATTTGTCTCCTTAGCATATCACCATTGAACACACATATTTACCTTTGAATTATTTTTTATTGACTATTTTTTCCAGCCCTAGTAAGTTCCATGAGGTCAGAGACTTGGTCATCTCCATTGAGAATTTCCTGAAGTTGGAACAGACTCCTTTGCTGCAGACACTCAACAAATATTGATTGAAGGAGTCAATAAATACATTTCCCTTCCCTGATTATGAAAGTAATACTTATGAACAATGTGATACCCTTTCCTGCTTATTTCCTATGGCTACATGTGTTTATAAAAATAGATGGATGCCAATCAAACCTTTGGCCATGCTACTCATCATGATTATTGCTCCTGGGAGGGGCAGAGGGAGAGAGAGTGGGCCAAAGGAGGTTTCACCTTTATCTGTGATATTAAAACTTTTTAATTGAGAGATTGTATTCATTCCATATTAGTTGTATACTTAAAATCATCTTTAAAACCATATAAGCTAAAGATAATGAAAGTCTCCCTCGCTTATTGTAGGAAAGTTGGAAATGGAGAAAAGTTCCATGCCCCAAAGCATCACTTAGGGGACCACCACCGTGAGGATGAGTGTTCCTCCTGGGTCCTCTCTACTTGCCTTGGTGGTGAGCTCAAGCAGTTTTTGTGAAGAGTCTCCATCTTCCCTGGGTCTTAGCTCCTCAGTGTGCCTGGGTGCTGTGGGAACAGGGCCAGCATCTCCTCCTTTGTGGCTCTCACAGCTCCCTTCCTGCATGGGTGTAGCATGCCATGGTTACCGCCAAACCATTTAATAAGCTACGCATCTTTAAAGAAGTGAAATCCTCCGAGACCAGGGTAGGAGGTGACCTGGGGAATTTTGTGGGCTTCCTCAGACCCTCTGTTTGTCATTTGCTGTCCCTGGTCACCAAAGCCAGCCTTCCTTAGAGGACACCATGCCTTCACCATTCAGCCCCTCAGTTAGCCAGTGCAGAGCAGCCATTGTGCCAAGGCTGTGCTCAACTCTGGGGACAAAAGGGGAAGGTAGACAGATGGCCCTGCCTTATTCGGGTAATCCAACATAAACCCTATGTAAACAAGCAGATAAGGCCATTGCTAAGGTCAGACCCAAGAGAACAGGAGCTGGAGGAAGAGTCTTTGAAGGGGAGGGAACAGTCAGAGAAAAGTCTAGAGGTGGGAGAGATTGGCTGCTCCAGAGATTGGGAATGTGTGTGTGGTGGGCATGGAGGCCAAGGCATGGACAGGAAATGGCCTGTGGGGTAAGGGGCAAGCTCAGGTGTCCTCTACCTTCTACCCGAGGTTTCTCTAGGTACAGGCAGAGTGTAGTATTTATTTTAAGTTTGGTGGGAGTCCACTGAACAGCTTTAACCAGAGTGACGTTGATGTTTGAACATGATCAGAATGATTGTGCAAAGAGACAGGAAGAGGGAAGGCCAGGCCTTCGTCCAGGTGAGAGATGAAGGAGTGAGGACAGGGTGGTGATTCTGGAGGCAAGAAGAGCAGGTCTCCCAGGGATGTGTGAGGTGTGGGAACGATGGACAGAGGCTGATAGGAGAGAGCCGCAGTTGGATATTTGTACTCAGTCGGCAGAGACCATACTTCAGCAGCCATAATTTTTGCACAGCTGACTGGCCATGGTCCTACTTGGAGGCAAAGCAAGCTTCTGCTGCACTGAGCAGGACTGAGTGGGACATTAGAACAGGACAGTGCCTGCAGAAGACAGAGCACAGGCTGGCCAGGCCTGGCTCCTGACTGGGTCACTTTGGGCAGGGTCTTCTTCCTCTGGGGATGCGATTGATTTCATATGACCCGTGTCCTTGTCTGTCTCCACAGACTCGCCTGCAGGCTGGCGTGGGCTACGGGAACACCTTCAGCTGCATCCGTACCATGTACAAGAGAGAGAGTGTAAGTGTCCCCCCCGCCCCGTGGGAGGAGGGATCCCTGCCAGGGTCTCATGGGCTGGGGCCCAGGTCATGGCTCCCACACCAGTGTGTAAGGCAAGAGGCCACTCATTCCACTCATCACCTTGGCCTGATTTTTCCTTCTCTTCTTACCCCACATATTACATGTTACCCTAACTTATCCTGTCACCTACTACAATATTATTGGGGAAAAACCTGGTTCTGTGTAACCTCTCTGGAGAAATCTGAGGAATATAAAACCGCAGTGTGGAAAATTCCTGCATAAACAAGGTGGCCTGCCAGGTTTTGAGTTGGAATGAGTGGCGGGGAAACCATGTGCCCACAGGTATGTATCCCGGTGTGCCTGGGGACACTGAGCTCACCATGTGACCCAAGCTTTTCTGATCAGGGGAGTAGAGGAAGGAGATTGAGAGGGAGGGAGGGAGGATGGGAAAAGGGAAGAATGATAGAAAGAAATGACCCAACTATCCTATGTACATATGGAATATGCCACAGTGAATCTCACCTTTATGTACATCTGTAATGCACTCCTTTAAAAAGAAATATAAATAAATAGAAGAAAGATTGATAGGATAGAGGAAAGGGGGCAGGGGAAAGGAGAAAACGATGGAAAGTGGAAGTACTGAGAAAGTTATATTCCATGCATCTCTAATTATGTCACAATGAACCCCAATATCATGTATGACTATAAGGTACTAATAAAAATTTTAAAAAGAAAAACTGGCTAAAGTTTTGTAACACACATCAGCTTCCTTCTTGAGAATTACCATGTGATATTCTAAGGCCCCTCTTTGAGAGATTTAAAATAAGTTTGAAAATTCAAAGTGAAATGAATATATCTAAAATGAATACAGTGAAACATCACATCATGTACCACCACAAGAACGGGATCCTAATTAGAATAAGTTACACTCCATGTATGTATAATATGACACACTGTACTATCACATACTAAAAAGAACAAATAAAGAAATTATATAAAGTTCAAAAAAAGGAAAACGAAAAAAGAAACAGAAAGTCAGCACAAGCTCTGTGATATTCCTGCAGATTTTCCTTGAGTCCCAGAAAATGTGATCTATGGCGACTGCTCTTTTCTAGTACACTAGGGCTTGGGAGCCTCCTACAATACTGTGACATTGTCCACAGACAAAGGGCATCTTGCATCAGTGTGATTTAACTCTCCCGATTGGCTGCTTTGAAATCAGGGCAAGCACTGCAAACCTAGTACTTGGTGTTCCAGGGTAATGTGGTGTGATCCCCAAGTCCCCTGAAAGTCAGCCCTTGGGTCTGTCTCCATTTTGGCACCCATTCCCCACAGAGTCCACCAGCCAGTGTCCCAGTTCTGGGGCTTTGATGGGGACTGTAGGTGGTTTCTCTGAAGTACCACAGCTCCTGGCTAAGCAGCTTCCAAAGTTATCTGAAGGACCTTGTTATGGAGGAAAAGCCAGAAGCAGTGTGTGTGTGTGTGTGTGTGTGTGTGTGTGTGTGTGTGCGCGCGCGTGCATATGTGTGTGAGGTTCCTGTCTTTGGCAATTAGGGTGCAGCATATGTGGTCAGGATTATTGGATTAGTGCACAACCTGGATTTTGTACAGTGGCTTTTTAGAACATTCCTAGAACATTTTTATTTTGGCATCTGGGTGTTGCCCTGACTCCTCCAAGGGCCTGTGGAATTTTCTGGGTTTCCTCAGAGCCCATGTGCAGTGCTCATTGAGAATGCAGTAGAGAAAAGACCTTGACCCCAGCCTGCAGCACCTCTCCTCAGCCCCCTGTGCAGGCATAGGGCTGCTCTTGTGTCCTTCCGGGGCTTCCCTCTTCAGCCACTTCTGTCAGGAGACATTCATGCTCAGGGCCCTCATCTGCAGGTTGACCCACGTACCCCTGAAGAAACCCTCACCAAGGGCTTAGTGAATTGCACTGTAATTGCCTGTCAATTTGTCTGTCCCTTGCCCTTGCCCTCAACTGCCCTGTCCCTAGACCGTGAGCTCAGTGAGGGTGAAGACTGTTTCTTATTGTCCCCTAGGGCCTGGCACATGGGAAGTAACCAGAAAATGCTTTGAGGGTCAAATAAGGAGATATGTATGGTGGTTAGCCACTTCTCCCTAGGTGTCCCATGGGCCAGCCCCAGACATTGCCACTGAAGCAGCAGGTGGCCTGGAGACCACCACACAGGAGACAAAACATTGTGCAGAAGTGGTTTCTCAGCTGGTTGCGGTGGCTCACGCCTATAATCCCAGTTTCTCGGGAGGCTGAGGCAGGAGGATCGAGAGTTCAAAGCCAGCCTCAGCAACAGTGAGGTGCTGAGCAACTCAGTGAGACCCTGTCTCTAAATAAAATACAAAATAGGGCTGGGGATGTGGCTCAGTGGTCAATTCTCCCTGAGTCCAATCCCCAGTACCCTCCAAAAAATAAAAAAATTAAAAGAAGTGATTTCTCTCCAGCGGCAGGCATGCCTGCCCCTGAGTTTCAGCAGCCCTCTCCTGTCCCATCAGGTTCCTCTTCAAGGCTCTTCACCGACACAGTGGCTTATCAGAGGCCAGGGCAGTGTGGCCTGCAGGGGGCCTGGCCGCATCCCTGGGCCTCATGCTTCCCTCACTGGGTCTCACCACAGGTGTTCGGCTTCTTCAAGGGCATGTCCTTCCCCCTGGCCAGCATTGCTGTCTACAACTCAGTGGTGTTTGGGGTCTTCAGTAACACACAGCGGTTCCTCAGCCAACACCGCTGCGGGGAGCCCGAGACCAGTCCTCGCCACAGCCTGTCTGACCTGCTCCTAGCCAGCATGGTGGCTGGCATGGTCTCTGTTGGGCTGGGCGGGCCCGTGGACCTCATCAAGATCCGGCTGCAGATGCAAACACAGCCATTTCGGGAAGGTAAGAGGCCAGGGAAGGGGAAGCTGGTGTCTGGGGACCTTGACTCTTTCCTGGGTGGCTGAATCTGGGATGGAGTTTTTAACATCCTTGTTATTGAGCAGGACACTCATGTTATCATGTCATGTTCTAGAGATGTTCTAAAAGGCCACTGTACAGAATCCAATAATCCAATAATCCTGACCACATGTGCTGCACCCTAATTGCCAGAGACAGGAACCTCACACACATATGCACAGACACACACACATACACACACACGTGCACACACACACGTGCACACACCCTGCCTCTGGCTCTTCCTCCATGTGTGTTCTCATTACTCTAGCTGTAGTAGTAACTGTCATAAGTCAAGTCTTTAGTACATGACAGGTTATATGGCAGGTACCTGCTGAGAGCTCTGCATGTGTTCACTTAATTCATCTTTGTGACAGTTCCGTGAGCCAGGTGCTACCATTACCTCTGTTTTACAGATGAGAAAACTGAAGTTCCCAGAGAAAACTGTTTCTCAAGAACACTTAGTGACGGCGAGCAAAGACCAGCTACATTATTTGACAGCACCCAATGTCAAATGAAAATGCAAGGACTGATTGTTAAAAGCAACAGCAAAAAAAATAGTTAGGAATTTTACCGCTAACCCAAGCATGGAGCCCGTGTGGCCGCACAGCTCTCAGCCTCATGACGCTGTCCCTGGGCTGAGCTGGGACTCATACCCCTATCCATCCTACAACCAAGCTGCTGGTCTTAGCATTGCCTGCTCCACACACCTGCCCATCCTCTCCCACCCTCCCTGGCTCCTGGCCCTCAGAGCCATTAGAGCTTCGTGTTCTGGCCAGTGAGTGTCATGGGAGGAAAAAACAGAAGGTGCTTGGTGTGCAGAGTCCTGAGTGTCAGCTCTGGAGGAGAGACAAGCTGGGCATCGTAGAAGATAGACTTCAGTACCTCGAGCTTTCCTTCTTAGATCTTCCACTAATTTTCAGTCTCCCCAGGCAGGATAAAACCCTTCCTGGGCCTCTGTCTCCCTTTCTGTGTGGAGGAAGGGCTGGACCTGAGGTCCCTCTCTGGATAAATCCCCTCTCCCTGGAAGCCTCCTGAATGTCCTCCGTATGACCCCTCCGCTCATAGAGGCTGGGGTTAACCCATGTGTCACAACTGAAGCCCCCAAAACTCACTCAGGAACATCCCGACTCAATACCCAGCCCCCTGCCAGGTGATGTCCAGAAGAGGGCCCACACCTGCACAGAACAGGAAGCTGATGTTCCCTGTCGGGACAGGTGGAGGGCCTGAGGCATGGCTGCCCCGAGGATGTGTCTCATCAGCCAGTGTGCACAGTCGCCTTCAGTATGTGGGGCCACCAGGGCGACATGGAACAGGCAGATCCTCACCTTTATCTACTTGAAGTAGTCAACTTAGTTTGATTGAAGGCCTATACCTTGGAGGAATGTTTCAAATTTGCTGATGTGGTCCTGTCCCCAGGAGTGAAAGCAAAGATGTAGAGCGATGAAGAACATGGTAAGCAGAGTCAGCCCCCACACTGGCTGTTTTGTCTGCCCTCTCTTCTCTAGAAATGCCTTAGTCTCTGATGAGAAGAAACCTCTCCTTAAGTCAAAAAGCTCTTTGGGGTCCAGATGCTGCAAGAGGCTCAGGGATGAGGCTCCAGTGCTCCTGAGAGCAGCGCCCCCCCCCTTCCTCACCTGCATCTTGTCCCTCTAAGTGTCCCTTGGCTGTGTGGACACCAAGCCCTCTGGTGACTGCAGGTGCCTGGCAGTATCAGCCACTGAGAAGGGGTAGGAGGCTGACAGGAATAGGAGGCGGTCATTTTGGCCAGGAATTGCTCCAGAAAATGAGGAAGGATGTGGTCTCTTGAACTTCTTTCTCAGGAACCCTCTTGGCCAGAAGTAGAAAACTCAAAGACCAGCTAGGACCAGGGAGGTCACATCAGTGAACCAGAGGTACCCAGGGAAGCTGCCCTCTTCTCTTTTTGTTGAGACCCGTGGCCCTCCTATCAGATTTCCTCTTTTGATTGAAACATGAACACAGGGCATATTCCATGGTCTGCCTCCCTCTGCTGTTTGAAAGACAGCAGCAGCTCAGGCACAGGGTGACAGATGAGGTGTCCAGGAGGCAGTCACAAGTGGTGGAGACTGTGGCCCACATCCACCCGAGGGCATGGCTGTCAGTGCTCCACCTGACAATCATGGAGCCTCTGATGATCCTGTGAGGCGCTTCAGTTGGAAATTGTCAGGTGATTCAATTAAAAGTGACAATAAACACAAACGGAACACAGTGTAGCCCAAAGCTATGTGAATGAGGCTGGGGCCAGCTGAAAACAAATGGTCTCTGCTCTGGGTCACCCTTCTCTGGGTGGTGACTTTGCTGTCAAGGGCATTTCCAGCAGCCTTGGGCACAGCTTGTGGAATCTTTCTTGGCTTGTGATTTTACCCCCAAATTGCCAGTCCAGGTCCAGGATAATGACCATGTGATGTGACGGTCAGTACTTACTGAAGCCAGGTGCCAAAGGCCTTGGCTTCTCTGCTTTGAGACATGCAACAAGTAGACCAGAGGCCACATTGGGGCGAGAGCCCAGTTCATCTGGCTGGGGGCTGGCAAAGAGAGAGTTAGTGACTTCTTCCTGGGTGTCTATGGGTAGTGACCCAGGGTGAGAATTTACAAACTACAGAGCATCAAAAGGAGAGAGAGGAAATGCTTATCTCCCAAATACAGCCCAGAAGTGGATGCACACTGTCACCACGTTAATATGCTTCTTTTTCCAATTCTATATACTTAAGCTAGTGATGGCAAGAGGTTCTACTCATGCCCTATAGACAATTTTATTTCCTTTTGAACTCAACATATTTTGTTATGAAAAGTACTGAAAATCAATGGGTAAAACTTAAAGTCAATGTGCAATATTCACACACACACACACACACACACACACACACACGCACACACACTGGAGGGCCAGTATCACATGGTAAGAATTGAGTTTCTGGAGTTAACCACCTGCTTCTAATACTGCCTCCACCAATGCCTAGAAACTGGACGACTCACCTAACATCGCCAAGCCTCAGTTTCCTCATCTGTAAAGCAAGCACACTCACCACCGTAGCCGCTTCCTGGCTGGGATGCATAGGGATGATGTATCAAATGTGAACATTTTGGCATAATGTCTGGCATATTGAAAACATGAATTAACTGTACTGTTAGCTATACTATTAGCAAATGTATTATTTTGTGTATATGTGGGGAAAAAATCCCACTTTTTTTTTTAGTTGTAGATGGACACAATACCTTTATTTTATTTATTTTTATGTGGTGCTGAGGCTCGAACCCAGTGCCTCACACATGCTGGGCTCTACCCCTGAGACACAACCCCAGCCCAGTAAATGTATTATTTAACAATCTTCCTACTGGTGAACATTTATTACAGTTTGTCTTCTCCCCAAAACAGTGATGTGATCAGCAAGTTTGTTTATAAAGAATTGCCTTCATTGAGGGTTATTTCCCTACATGCATGGGCTCTTTGTTTCATGGGAAGGGTGTGGTCACTTTTAAGATTGTAAAATTGTTATTCAGAAGGGCTTTAGCAAATCATACCAGCAGTTGCTGAGATTTAAAGGGAATTTCTACTTGGCACTGACTGTCATTGCACACTCAACAATGGTTGAGTGATCCTCGTGCAAACTCTTCCAGCTCACCAGAGTATTCTCCTGGGGCTTCTGCCACTTGGTAGGCAGTGAGGGCTGACCTGGGTTCAGTCGAATATGCCTATAAAAGTACAGAAACCCTCTCTTTTAACATTATCATGACCTTCTGCGGGATGTGAGCCTAACTAGGTGCTCTGCTTGGCCTAAGCTAAAAGTCGGGTCCGGGTCCTGGGGCCTGCAGTTTCCTTGCTGTCCAGGCCAATTCCCACCCTCAGGGCTGATGGCCAGTGACATTCACTCTCAGGTCTGTGTTTTCATTAGCGTCCTAATTAGAATGCATGTCACAAGACCGTCACAAAACAGGAGGCCAGATCTCAGAGGATCAGAGGACTCTGGTTTAACTACTTGCTGACTGTCCTGAGGACTTTACCAGGCCCAGCAGGAGGCAAGGGGCTGTGTGACACACCTGTTGGAATTCACTCTTAGAATCCTTCATTCATGAGCACTTGCTGAGCTCCTGTGCTGAGCCAGGTGGGGTGGGTAAAGCAGAGGTGCTGGGTGCACAGCCTTGCCTGGGGGAGCCCCTAATCCAATGGGGAACCAGATGTGTACAGAAATGAAAAGGGCCCCCTGGAAGGCTCTGGAACCCTCAACTTTGACTCTACGATCAGGAAGGAACCAAAAAGGAAACAGCTATGGTTGAGATTTTCAAGTGCTAGGAAGGATTTAGAGGTGGGGTTTCAGGATGAAGGGTCTTTCATATTGGGGCAGCAGTGTAGAGCATGATTTCACTGGCAGGAAAATGCATGATTAGGGAGGTGTTTAATTACATAGTACAGGGAGAGTAGGGGACGTGGATGGGACACAGAGAGAGCTGGGAAGAGCTTGGGTTTCTTAGCCAAGGATGGGCTGAGATTGCATGGCAGCAGATACACCTAGATACACCTAGGACACCAGAATGACCGACCCGGAGCTACACTGCAGGAAGATGGATTTGGCCTTCAGAAGGCGTGGGAGGGTGGTGGGAATAGCGGAGGTGGGCGTGGAGGTGCTGCCCCAGCCCAGGGCCAGGGGCATGGGGTAGAGTGGCAGCTGATCAAAGGCCTGGATGGTGTAGAACAAACAAGCCAAGCATGAGGAACCCGCAGGAGAGGAGCAGGTCAAAATTGACCCAGGATTTCAAAATCGGGCATCGATCAGGACAGGAGGTCTTCCCCACAGGGAATTCGGTGGCCGATGACGTGCGTATGACAGTGCTGAGCCTGGAGTTGTGATCAGAAAATGCTTATTGTTGATGCTGATGTTTTGCAGCCTGGCTGGAGGAACACAACAGTCTGGCTGAGTTTGTGTTGG